TTTCCTGCCAAAACGACCACATGTTGGTCAAAAATTTTCACCCAAAATGATGTCGTTTTGGTTGAAAGCGAGCGTGCACAGTGATTCATTTTGTGCCTTCTATTATGTAGATAAAACTATTTTCTAAAGCCTAATATAAAAAATGAAAATGAGAAATTCTCTTTTCAGCCATTCATTTTAATAGCATAGAACAAGAATTAGGGTTAAAAAAGTGAAAGTAGAACAAGAAATTCTCATGTTGCCTGATAAGAAGCTATGTGTCGTTTCAGTAATTGCAAACAAAAACTGGTACTAGGGTGAGAAACATCAGCTGATTAAGTATGTCTTGAAAACTATACAATACCAAAAAAACTAGTCAAAATTTAGAATATTAGTATATCATCAAATCTACAACCAGCATCATAGATTCAAAATTTAAAAATGAATGAAAACAAAACTATTTAAAAATGAATGAAAACAAAACTAATGGCGAGGGAATAAAAAAAGAAAGTAGAATAAAAAAACTGATAAAAACTAGAGGTTTACTATGCCTCAGATCCAATAGCAATGTGAAACATAAAGAAGCCATTGCAAAAGGTGGCCATAACTCTCACTTGCACTTAACACCAGCTTCAGCAGCTCGGCGGGCCTTTTTTTCAGCCAGAGCCAACAAGTTGCTTGAGATCCCATCGTCTTTTCTTATATCTGCAAATCTAAGAAAGCACAAGACTCTTAAAGTACCACAACCTTAAATTCTGACCCACTAAAATAAATAAATAAATATATATCTATATATATTTCTTAAGCTCAAAATCTTGGGACTTAAAGAAAAGTTATGGGTCAATTGATCCAAAAGCTCCACAGAAATTAGATCCAAAGTAAAACCTAATTAATAACAAGAACGTTGAATGTCGATCACAACAGAGCCTTTACAAAGGTGATTTCTTTCTCATTTCCAATCAACACAGATTCTCGATCAAGATTCATTCAAGAAAAGAACATAAAACAATGTATGCGTTTGGAACTCGTTTCAAAATGATTTCGTTTTCTGTATGAAAATGAAAACGAAAACGTTTTCATTTCTATTTTAGAATCATTTCTGAAAATGTGTTTGGTAGTTTTATTCTGATATTATTTTCCGTTAAAAAAAAATGAAACTGCGTTTGGTGGTTTAATTTTTAAAAACATGTAATAGTATTCTTTTTAACCTTTTTCTTTCATCATTTTTGTGAACACTCACTGAAACAATTTAGCAAACACTTAAACAGCAAACTTATTGAACCCAAAACACATACATAACGTTGACATCTACTTCAAATGGAAATAAATCAGAACTATCCTACTCTCTTTCATTATATTAAAGTGTAATGGTTGAGAACGTGAATGAGAGAAGTTTATAATTATGATTAATATTCAAGGATATTAATCTCCAATATCTTCTCAAATCTCACCTGATATGAGAGAGAGAATAATGTTCTCACATCTCTTGAGAAATTCCCAATAGAGATGGTCTTTTAAGCCAAGCCTCCTAATGATATAATCAAGAAACGAAATTGGAGTAACTGGGTTCATCTTCCATTCGAGTGTTGAGAGCACCAGGAGCTCCATTCTCTTAATCGTTTTCGCTTCAAACACGAACTTATTCTCTTCCACCTAACCACACGAAAAAAGATTCATTTTTTTCTTTTTCAATTAATTTTCAAGGATTTTTAGCTAGACCCAGAAAAAGGTTCATACGAATTATAATGAAGAACATACTTGGAAGTCTAATAGAAGAGGCACTTGGGTCTCTTCAACTTTGGCAGAGAGAGAGAGACAAGCCACAAAAGCGAGGTGGGTCATCCATGGCTTCTCTCTCTGAAACTCGAAGCTGAGGAGAAACCATGGTGAGCACCGAAGATCCCTCTCAGCCGCCGGTAAGCCTTCCTCAATCAAGCCACCGATCCTCGGCATGTGAAGCCCATCCCCACCCGAGGCGGCGATCCCCGGGCGCATATGGAGGAAGCCGGCGGCGGCGAGGTGGCTGCTGAGGAGGTCAATGAAGCTCGAGGAAGGTCGACGGGTTTGGGAGTGCTCGTGCTTCTTTCTCTTGGGAGTGCTCATGCTTTTGAGAAAAAGAGAGGTCGTTTGAGAAACAAACTTTTTATCTATACCGTCCAAATTTCAATCCGACGGCTACAATTATTGAGCGGACTGATCAGGCATATTTCATATGCCGGATGAGAGACCATTCCTATATATATATATTCAGTTTACTTTTCAAAAAAGTAAAAGTTATGTTCTTTTTTACTCTTTTTTTTACGGAAACTTAGCTTT